GAGACTGTCTCAAAAAAACCAAAAAAAAAAAAAAAAAAAGAAGCAAGCATACAACAGGACAAGTTAGAGACAAGGCAGCCAAGATTAAAATTTAACCATAATTTAAACTTGTTTTCACACCTCCATTACTAATATAGCCAAAGGACTGAAAGGGTTCTAAGAACAACCTCTGTACAAAGTGCACTACATTACTTAAGAGCACACAGTCCTTACAAAAACAACCTGTATGTCAGAGTTCTTTTAGTACATTTTTTCATCTTCTGAGTCAAGATAGATTAAGAGGTACTTTTTAACCGCTATAATTTATGAATTCCAAAAACTTTACTAAAATTTGCAACTTATATAATCAAGCAAAAGAAAACATTCCATGGAGGTGAAACATGCCACAAACGATCGATGAATACTAATTCCAACTCTTAATAATGCATGGCAGGCTGGAAAGATAAAGAACACTGTCTGCTTATTTATGAGTTTGTATAGAAAATTCTCAGCAGTTATAATCTACGGACATGACTTCAGCCCAAAAATGGGAATACTAATTAGTACTTTACCTATCTAAAGACAGGAGCTTATTTTTCTCCTTATTTGAATGTCTATGATTCTATATTCTTTTCTTTTAAAATAACAAATTATTTACAAAAAAAAAAAAGAACCAAAATTAAGAAGAACAGTAACTGAACATGTAAAAGCATTCACCAATTCAAGTGTAGGGTTCTGGGGACCAGCACCCCAAAATTCAGTACCCTGGTACGCTGATTATCTTAAATTAGAGGCCCTTGAAGATCAGCACATGTTGGAAAAAGCCTGACTCTGATGTTCGCTTATCTGCCCAAAGACCATCTGGCAAGAGGGAAACAATTTGCCTTCCCGTCCCCTTCCTGAGCTTTCCTACCTTATTACAGAAGGACAGCAGAAATCTGCACACCTGGACAGGGCGGTCACATGCTGCTGCACCTCGACAGAACGTTCACAGTCTCTTGGCCGTCTCCTGTCCAACTCTTTCCCCCTAATAACTCTTTACTGACTCTCAAAAATTATCTTCCTCTCCTCTCTGGAGAAGGGCATCTAAGCATCTGAACCTCACTGAGTTACTGGGCAGTCACTCTCCTGTGATTCCCCCATCCAAGCTGAACAAACGAGTGTGCCTTTTCTGCTATCTGACTACCCCCCGGTTCATTTCTGCGAACCTTCAGAGGGTGAAGGGGAAGCTCTCCCTCCATCTCTACAGAAGGAATAACAGGAACACAGCTATTTACTTCTTAAATCTTAAAAACAAACAGTTTACCGCAGTTAGCCACCTTGGTTAGAGAGAACATGAAAATGAAATATGCCAACTAGGAATATTTGCCCCTGGAAAATATACCTAATGATCACTGATACAAGAAAATGGCAGGCCAAAGCCAAATCTATACAGAAGGGAAGAAAGATTGAAGGGAGGGGACGAGAATGGGGAAAGAAGAGAAAGCAAGATGTATCAGGCACAGCTACAAATTCCCTATGGTGAATGTTATCACTATCTACATCTACAATGTACTAATATAATTTTTTTAAAAAGCCAAACCCAGCCATCGGACTCCAGGCCTGGGAAGAAATTTAACTTGATACGCGGCAAGAACAAACCTGACCGGCCAGAGTAAGGGCTGAGGGCAGGAAGTGCGTTCTGAACTCTCACAACAGTGACAATACCCCTGGCACTCAAAGAGTTACTGGCAAAGATTCCAGTTTCATCAAATGCCAACTATCTTCTTCATTTAACTAATCGGTATGGTTCTGTCCCCAAATTCTTCCAGAGTGTTTATGAGTTTTTTTCCTGTGAAAATGCAGTAAATATTAATATTAAATTTCTAAGTTGCAAACAGAATTTGAATAACAGTAATATTTCTAGTTTCCCTTAGTGACTATGAAACTCATTTCCTCAGTGATAATGTGCCAGTAGGGCTTATCAGAGGAAGTGAAAATGCTGTTCTAATTGTTCTAAAAATGTGTACTTATTAACATAGAAAAACATGTTATGAAGAGAAGTTTAAAACAAAAAATAATTTACAAGGAATTGTCTGTGGTTAGAAAAAAGACTTTGAATCTGAGAATCTCAGAATTACAAAGTCCTAGAAAATTTTTTGATCCAGGGTCTCTCAACTGCGACAATATTGCCATTTTGGGCTGGATGAGTCTCCGGCGTGCACGTGTCCTACTGTATAGGCTGCTTAGCAGTGCCCTGGCCTCTCCTCACTGGAGTCCCACAGCGTGCACATGGTGACAACCAAAAATGCCTCCAGACATTGCCATATGTTTTCTGTAAATCAAAATCAGCCTCAATTGAGATCCACTGATCTAATTCAATGCCCAATGATTAAGCACACTGATTTTTAAATAATTTTTTAATTAATTAATTTTATTGGTACACTTTAGGTATACATAATGATCACATTCAGCAGAGGGGATTTGTCCCTGTACTTGATTCTTTTGTACCTGTAACTTGATCCTTTCTATTTTCCCCCTCCCCTCCCCCTCAACCCCTCTTCTCATTTACAAAAGCTGTTTCCATTTTTTTCTTCTTTTCTCACTTTTTCCTTTTCCCTTCCTTCCTTTTCCCCTCTCCCTTTCTTAGTGCCCCTTCCTATTTGAATATTTTCTTCCTATTTTACCATATCTATTATATATTTTGGTCCTTATTTATACTTTTGGTTTCTCACACTGGAGCTATAATGCAGTATTTTCTTGTGTGTCCAATTTATTTCACTTAAGAGTATGGACTCAAGGTGCATCCATTTAGCTAGAAATGTCTCAAGCTTATCCTTCTTTATGGCAATTAACTGTAATAATTAAGAATATTAGTAATAATTAATACTCCATTGACTAAAAAAACCCATATCCTCTTTATCCATTCATCGGTTGATGGGCATTTGGGCTGTTTCTAAGATTCAGCTATCACAAACTGTGCTGCTATAAACATGGGTGTGCATTTATAGCAATCACATTAATTTTAAAAACCTTGAAAGGCCAGGGCATATAGCTCAGTGCCACAAGCGCTGGGCTGGCAAGCACAAAGTCTTGAGTTTGATTCCCAGTACCAAAAAAACCAAAAACAAACAAACAAAAAAAATTAAAAATATAAAAAATATAAAACCTCAAAAGATAGGAATTGTTTCACTCCAATTGTTTCCCTTGGTAAACTTTTTCCAATAGCTATAGAGACTGTTTCTACTGATATTAATGATATTCTCATATGTATTTTATATGTGTACAATCATCAGAGAAATGCAAATCAAAACAACAAAATATCTCACCCCAGTTAGAATGGTTATTATCAAAAAGACAGAAACATTTCATTATCCTAACAACATGCGTAAAGGTTTTCGTGGTATAAGTTTTATGTTTTTAGTATCAGTTAAAAAAGTAAGATAATAAAAATGTAACAAATGCTTGGAAGGACACAGAGAAAGGGGAGCTCTTATACACTGCTGGAGGGAATATAAATTAGTACAGCCATTATGGAAATCAGTAGGCAGTTCTCCTCAAAACAAAACCACAAAAAAAGAAGTACCGTGTGATCCAGCAATCCCACTACCGAGTGGCTATCTGGGATGTTAATCTTGACTGTGAACTTGACTGGCTCGGGAGCCACCTGGCGATTAGTGAAGCACCCTTCTGGTGTGTCTGGGGGGGTCACTGAGGTGTGCCCTTGGTAACTATGCCCAGTCCCTGGCCCCTTCCTCCCAGGGGCTCTTCCCCACACACTGCTTCCTGGCTACCAGGAAGGGGGCAGCCCCGCCCTGCCAGGCCATTCTGGCGTGATCCTTCCTCTGTGGGGTTTCCGCCTGGGAGCCAGCTGGGCAGGGACTAAAGCCTCTAAAACCATGAGCCAAACGAAACCTGTCTTCTTCAAAGGCAGGTGTCAGGTACGTTGTCCCACCACTGGAAAGCTGACCCATACACAATCCAGAGGAAACGAAATCCTTGTAACAAGAGAGATCCCTGCATACCCAGGCTCACCGCAGCACTTCACAACAGCTATGATATAGAATAAAACAAGATGCTACTACCTACAGCTGAGTGGATACAGAAAATATGTGTGTGTGCACATGAAATGAAGTATTATTCAGCCACAAAAAAGATCCTGTCCTTTGTGTCGATATGCATGGAGTTGGAGGACATTATTTTAAGTGAAGTAAGCCAGACACAGAAAGGTAAGTACCTTTCTGTCCCTCCAGGGAAGCTGAAAAAGTGGGTCCATAGAAGCAGAGAGCACAGTGAGGTCACCAGAGTTAGGAAGGGAGGGAAAAGTGGGGGCACCAGGAGGCTGGAAAGGGCGCGCAGGCACAGTGAGACGAAGGAACTCGTTCCAATCTCCATCACACCGTGGCGTCACTCCAGTTTAGAACAGTTTACTACACGTTTCAAAGTAACTGGAGAAGAGTTTGAAGGTTCTCAACACACAGGAATGACACTATCAGAGAAGATGCAAAGGCTCATTACCCTGATTTGATCACTGTACATTGTATACAAGTATCAAATTATAAAACTACCCCCCAAAATCAGTACAAATATTCTATATGAATTTTAAAAATAGAGATTACAGAAATCACTGTGCTAGGCCAGAGTCTAGGTGCTAAGGACACAGCAGTAAATAAAAAATGAAATCTGAAGCTTATCATCTAATGGTGTAAGAAAGAATACACAAGATAGACGGGTAAATTATACAGTGTTACAAGATAAAGAGTAAGGGCAAAATTTAAGCAGAAAAGTGGGACAGAGACTATCAAGGGTTTTAAGGGTGTGAGCGTCCACCATGCAGTTACCAGCAGAGGACACATGTGGGCACAGACAGAACGTGGCAGGAGCGGGCAGGGAGGAGACCATGGCGCTGCGCAGTGTGGGTGAAGAGATAAGAGGAGGGCCGGGTCACGTCAAAGCACTGTCGTAAGCGCTCTGACGTCTACTCAAGAGATACGGGAAGCAACTGGAGAGCATTTAGCAAAGTGAGAAGACTACAGGAAGGGCAGCCCTTTATTGTGAGTTAGCACTCTGCCCAGGCATTGTGCTAGGCCTCTGGGGATGCAGGGATTAAAAAAAAAAGGCAATCTCTGACTTAAGGAGCATACTTAAACTAAGGAGTCTAAGGTGAAATACGCGCCAACCCTATTTCAGGCAGAATATAGTCCCTGCAGAGGAATGGAATTCCTACTAAAAGGCTTGGTGCTGTCACAGATCACAGCTTGGCACGGGGGACACTCATGCCATAACGCTTTGCCTACAGTAACAGTGACAACCGGCAGAAGCACCTTCCAGAAGAGACGAAACTCACTCTCGGTGAGCACAGAAGCCACAGAAGCAGAAGAGCAGGGCATACCGGCCTGATGGCATACCGGTGCCAGAACTCAACCTGCCCCCTCTGCCCTCCTTCCAATCACATGGTTGGCCGGTCTGGCAATCACCACCCAACTAGGATACACTCAGGTCTGGTCAAATTCCAAAGGTCTGAGGAGCTATGTCTGACAGCAGGGACAAAAATATAGATGATATATATGTATGGATGGACTTGCACAGCTCAAGGCCAAAAAATCAACTGATTAGAAATTGGGCAAAAAGCCGGGCACGGTGGCGCACACCAGTAATCCCAGTACTCGGGAGGCTGAGGCAGGAGGATCGTTGCAAGTTCGAGACCAGTCTGGGCTACAAAGTGAGCTCAAGGCCAGCCTGAACTGCATAGTGAGACCCTGTCTCAAAAAAGACCAAAAAAAAAAAAAAAAATTGAGCAAAATATTTGAAGAGCCACTTCTGCACTGATACAAAAATGGCAACAAGCACATGAAAAGGATGTTCAACATCAGAAAAACAAAACTCAAAACCAGAATGGCACATCACCTCATACCCATCAGACGGCTACTATCATAGAACAGAAAATAACAAGTGTTGGTAAGGAAGTGGAGAAACTGGAGCTTCTTTGCTGCCGCTGGTATTACAACGGCACTACTGCTATGGAAACAGCCTGAAGGATCCCTCAAAACTAAACACAGACATACACATTGCCCAGGAATCCCATTTCTGGTATACACCCCAAAGAACTCAAAGCAGGCCCTCAAAGAGGTACCTGCACAGCTGCATTCACAGCAGCACTATTCACAAAGGCCAAGAGGTAGAAGCAACCCAAGTGTCCAGATGAGTGAATAAACACAATGAGATATACACATACTAAAGATTATTATCCAGCCATAAAAGAAATGTTTTTTCATAGGGTCTCGCTATGTAGTCCACGCTGGCCTTGAACTCACTATGTAGTCCAGGCTGGCCTCAAACTCACAGCAATCCTCCTGCCTCAGCCTCCCGAGTGTTGGGATTATAGGCATGCACTACCCATGCCGGGTATATATTTTTTTAAAAGGAAATATATGTCACATGCTACAACGTGAATGAACCTTGAGTGTATCATACTAATTGAAATAAGCCAGTCACAGAAAAAAAAATACTGTACTATATGATTTCATCTATATGAGACATCTAAAGCAAAATCCTTAAAGACAGAAAGTGGAAGAGTGGCTACCAGAGCCCAGGCACAGGAAAAGGAGAGTTTATGTAAGGAGTATAGAGTCAGGTTTGCACATGAAAGTTCTAGGGATTTGCTTCAAAACAACGTAAATATATTTAACACTACAGAATTTAAAATGGTTACAACAGTAGATCTTATGTATGAAAAAATGTACCAGGAAACTATACTCTTTGTAGCGTGCATGGTGCTAAAATAATCTCTTATTGGATAATATGAACCAAAAAATAAATATTAAAATATAAAAATATTTTATGCTTAGAAAACCTTATTACCTGCAACAAATCCAACTACCAGATCTTTTCCAGTAGTAGAACGTTGACCTTTGACCCAGACTGCTTTGAGGCTATTAAAAGTGTAGAAATAGACAAAATTGGAGCAGCAGAGACTGGAAATAACTGGAAACCACCCTCGATACGGCGCCAGGCTACGGAAGAAACACAAGAAACAAAGTGAAGGTCATGGACAAAAGCTGTTAGAAACCGCCGGAGAAGCCCCGGGAAAGCCGGTCTTTCCTCACATAGTTTCCAGGTTACCCAGCTACTGTAACGGACTCCAAGTCATTTGCACACTTAACATTCTGTTTTCCTTTCCTTTTTTTCTTTTTGTAATACCAGAGATCGTGAGATAGGAGGGTCAAGCCAGCCTAGACTACACAGTGACAGCCTGTCTCGGAAGAAGGAAGGAGGGGAGAAAGGGAGGGAGGAAAAAATGAAATGAAAGAGCAAGCGAGCAAGCAGCCAATGGCATAGGGCTAAAAGGATGTGATGCATTTAACTTGTTCTCAAACACTCCTGAAAATGTGTGTGGGGTGTGTGTGCGTGTGTAAGACAGGACGCAGGGGAAGCGTGGGCACAAGCGGAGAAACAGAGGGAAACAAGGTTAACAACTGGTAAACCTGGGTAAAGCATACACTGGTGTTCCTCGTACCAACTTCAGTTTTGCAACTTTTTGTAAATCTGAAATTATTTCCAAATTAAAAAAAAAATAGGGACACAATTTGTCTGAATGCATCTGGTAAGAATGAACTAAAGAACTATCATCTTGGATTTACTGCACACTAAACAAAGCACTGGTTTTCTGGAAGACTCCCTGATAAAGAATCAAATGGCTAACCACAGATTGTTAAGAACTAAAAACAATTAGGCACTTAGAGCCAGGCAGTCACAACTTCACACCGTAATAAAGCTACGAGACCGGCAGAGTTCCGGTGCATTGGAGGCTCAGGACTCTCGTGAGCCGCTCTGTTTAACACAGCTATGAGATGAGGAAGTACTCACAGGCCTTCTTCTTTAATGATCTCCAGCAGCACCATGTGTGTCGTTTTGGACTTTCTTTTTTCATCAACTACAAGACCAAAGAATACGTTTGAACTTAGAGAATTATTATTTCCAGCATCAGCAAATTTCACTGAAATGTCATCTACCTCACCTGCGTGATCTCTCACCCTATTCTTTCAGCTAGCTAGATTGCCTCAGATTTTCCTGTGCTAAATTGCCAACTACACATTCCTTGGACATCGCCTGTTATTCAGGAAGGATTGTAGTTAAACTCCTTCTTTCCAAAATAAAGCAGAAATTTATTTCTTGTATTTTATTTATTTTTGAGACAGAGTCTTGCTGGGTAGCTCAGGCTGGCCTCAAACTCATTGTGATCCTCCTGCCTCAGCATCCTGAGAGCTGGGATTACAGGCATGCACCACCATACCTGGCACTTATTTCTTATATTTTATAAAGCTCTTATTTTCTAAAGTGATATATATTCATAGTTTTATCCTAATACCCAAAAAACAGAGAAAAAATAAATTACTATCTTTCTTTCACAAAAGAGGCTACAAGCCGGGCATGGTGGTGCACACCTGTAATCCCAGCACTCGGGAGGCTGAGGCAAGACGATCACTGAGAATTCGAGGACCAGCCTGGGCTACAAAGTGACCTTGAAGCCAGCCTGAACTGCATAGTGAGACCCTGTCTCAAACAAACAAACAAACAAAAAAAGAGTTACAGACACAAAAGCAAATTCAGTATTAAAACAAGTTTCAGCCTGTAATCCCAGCACTTTAGGAGGCAGAGGCAAGAGGATCACAAGCTTGTGCTCAGCTTGGACAACTTAGTGAGATTCTGTCTTGAAACTAAAAAATAAAAAAACAAAGGCTAGGAATGCAGCTCAGTGTGGAGCACTTGGATTCAATCCCCAGTATCATCAAGTCAAAAGATGAAACAAAAAAGCCTTAAATTTCAAGTGCTTGGCCTTGAGCTCCATCTCTAACATGGGGGAAAAACTCCCAAAAAGATGAAAACTCTGCTTCTCACTGAAAACAAAACCTATCTCAATTAAATTCAAAATTCCTACCCATGCCTGAAAAGTAATTTGAGAACATAAAAATATGAAAATTAACCAACTTCCTAAGAGTTGGGCACAGTGTGGCTTGTGAAATGACAAATTAATAAACCAGAAGGGAAGGCAGCCTGGCAATAACTATCAAAATTACAAATACATCTACCTTTTGATACAGTAATCCCATGTCTGGGAATTTCTATAAGAGAATTTGGAGAAACAAAGTGGTATAAGAACAAACCCAGGGGGCCGGGGATTTAGCTCAGCGGCAAAATCGCCTGCCTGGCAAGCACAAGGTTGTGAGTTCGGTTCCCGGTACCGGAGAAAAACCAAAAAAAAAAAAAAAAGAACAAACCCAAAGCTGGGCGTGGCGGCACACACCTGTAATCCCAGCACTTGGGAGGCTGAGGCAGGAGGATTACTGTGAGTTCGAGACCAGCCTGGTCTACAAAGTGAGCTCAAGGCCAGCCTGAACTGCATGGTGAGACCCTGTCTCAAAAAGACACACACAAAAAAAAACCCAAATCCATACTTACATCCTATTTGTAATAACAAAACAGTGAAAACAACCCAAGAATGCAAAGGTGGGGCAGGGAACATAGGTTCAACACCATGGAACACTCTGCAGCTGTAAGGCAGGATATGCTGATTTGAAAGACATCTAAAACATGGTATTAAACTTAAAATGCAAAGTACCAATAGTGAAAGCATGCTTTTTGTTTAACTAAGGGAGAAAATTAAGAATATATATTATTTGCTGGTATCTCATGAGGAAAGTCTGCAAGGCTACTCGGGGAAGTAGGAAAGGCTGATCATCACTCAGTCACCCCCACACTATGATGGACTCCAAATAGTGCAGCTCCCTCCCCTCCCCTCCCTTCCCTTCTCCTCTCCTCTTCCCGCTCCTTTTTCTCTTCTCCTTCACTCACGCTGGGGACTGAACCCAAGGCCTCATCATGCTAAGCAAACACTCTACCACTGAGCTAACATCCCCAGCCCTCTTCTTTTTTTTTTAATTTAAAAAGGTGGGGCACTTGGGAAGAAGAGGTAGGCGGCCAGCCTGGGCTACAAGAGACCCTGTGTCAGAGAACAGAGATGGGGAATCTCTTGATACGCTGTTCAGCCTGGCCCTAAACTCCTGGGCTCACCCAGTTCTCTCGGCTCAGCCCTGCAAATAGCTGCAACTACAGGTGTGAATTCCACTCGGGGGCTGCACCTTCCACTCTGAAGATGTTCAAATGAGAAAGCCTGATGACACCAAAGGAATACCACACAAAGCGAACACTGACTACCATGGGGAGGGCAGGGCAGACTGCAGTGAATGTTCTCTACCCCATATATCTTTTTACATATTTTGCTTTTTGCTCTCCCCTCCTTTTGGTACCTAATTGAACTCAGGACCTTGTCTTGCTAGGCAGGCGCTGTGCCACTGGGCTATCTCCCCAGCCCCTTTACATATTTTGCTTTTTGAACCATAAAATTATTACCTATTCAAAAGCTCTAACCACAGACAGTGGGCATAAAGACTTAGTATTCAAAGACAGTATTCAACTTTGAATTAGTATTCAAAGATAATCTGAGGCATCTGTTTATGCAAATTCCAGCACTGGTTTAAAATTTTAAGATAAAAAATTGCGAGAAAAAAAACAAGAATTAAGTGAACTGCAGAATCTACAGAGCTAACGAGGAAACCAGGACAACATGCCTCGACTCCGGTTCTCCCTCCTGTCAGAAAATCTACTTCCCTCAAAAAGCTCTACTTTGTGCCTTAAGAAGCCAGAGCTGCTGGAGGTGTAGCTCAGTCTCAAGCATGTGTGAGGCCCTAGGTTCAATCTCCAGCACTGCAAAAAAAAAAGAGAAAAAGTCATGGCTTATTAGAAAAAGTCATAATGATTCAAAATTATTCATGCAAGCCCACTCAGGCCGTCTCAGATTGGAAAATGAGTAAGGCTTGGGCTCATCCACGGACGACTCTCTGCTAATCAGGAAACAATGATGACACTGGTTAAAGTCAGGCAACCCTGGAGAGCTAAAGAATGTAGAATTCACCAGCAAAGATGTTCGCTTCCCAACATCATATGTATAGGAATATGGTTAATACTCACCCTGAAGTCGAAGTCTAGCTGTATCCAAGGGAAAGAACACTGTCATTGCAGTCACACTTCCCTGAAAAGTTTGAAAAATGTTTTAGTCATCACAAACAAAGTGAACCACAACTTTTAACTGAATAAAAGATCATTATTATTGGTTAAATCAGCTTTTCAGTGAACAAAAACATATATTTTAATCTAGTAGAACTATTATCATTCAAACTTCTATTATTATATTCCTTTTTTTTTTTTGTCTTTTTGAGACAGGGTCTCACCATGCAGTTCAGGCTGGCCCCAGGCTGGACTTGAACTTGCAGTGATCCTCCTGCCTCAGCCTCCCGAGTGCTGGGATTACAGGCGTGTGCTACCATGCCCAGCTCCTATTATTATACTCTTAAACAGAGGAATTTAATTTTCCAGAAGAGCTCTCTTCTCTCTCTGACACTGAAAAGAAATGTAGTAACTCCCTACAAACAACAAACTTACCCATCTGCAACCTAGGACACACACAAAAGCACACAAAGACAGCAGGTAAATGAATGGTTAACTTCTTACAGATCAGTTGCTGCTATAATGCTTGTTCTCTGATAGTTCCAAACCAAAACATTCACTAAGTAAACAGGTTTGTGCTTCTATATTTTGTGCTTAATATGGTCACTACAAAGTGAAAAGGTACATAAGAACCATACTGTTCTTAGCTGAGCGTGGTAGCGCATGCCTGTGATTCCAGCATTGTGGGGTTGGGGCTGAGGCAGGAGGATCATTGCAAGTTCAAGACCAGCCTGGGCTACAAAGTGAGTTCAAGGCCAGCCTGAACTGCATAAAGAGACCCTGTCTCAAAAAGACAGACAGACAGACAGACAGACAGACAGACAGACAAATAAATATAAAAACTCACCCCAGGTAACAAAATGACACAAATTATCAATGGGAAAAAACTCTGAACAACTAGCGTTTCCATTAAAACAAGTAAAAACCACAAGCATTTAGCATTTTCATCCACAAGGGATGAAATTATCTACATGACATTTCCAGTTGTTTATGATTTCAACCCAGATACAAACCCCACAGTGTATTGCATCAGGCATAAAATCAGGCTACTGATCTCATACAAAATAATCACAACTAGAAACTGGATCAATATAAAGTACAAAACTTTTCTGGGGCTCTTATTTACGTAAATAGGTAAGCCTGCTTAACAAGTGAGTGTTGCAGTGTAACATTAGTATTCCTCAAAACTCAGATTAAAGCTGGGCATGGTGGTGCACACCTGTCATCTCAGCACTCCGGAGGCTGAGGCAGGAAGATCACTGTGAGTTTGAGGCCACCCTGAGCTACACAGTGAGTTCAAGACCAGCCTGGACTATGCAGTGTTTCTCAAAAAGCCAACAAAACAAAACAAAAATTCAGATTAAATGCTACCCTCTCTTTCCCATCAAGTTACAAGGTTGTTCAGCTCTTAGGTTCCCACAGAACCCATTTGTATCTCTTTCGCAGCAATTGAGTGCATGGTGAAACCTAACTCCTACATTGTGAGAACATCAATTCCTTACCTTTGCATAGATTCTCCAATATGTGTTCAATTCATTCTATGCTTTTTTATGTTTATTTATATTTTTAAAGAGTCCAATATAAATGTTATTTTCTAGTAACGAGTGAATAATATTCATTGTCTTACCAAAGAAAGTAACCCACAAACGCTGGACCCAAAAGGTGTTTAAGTCCTGCTGAATCCATGACTCCAGCCTCCTTGTTCAGTGTGAGGGCAATTTCTAAGGAAGACGAGGCTGGGAAGCTAGAGAAAGCCTACTCCATTTATTAAACTGTAGGATTCGTTTCCCGCTGCATGCTGCCGCACCGATATGCACAGGGCAGCTCCATGCGGCAAAGTCTGGCCTGGACACCACTTTTTCAAACAACTGGGCCACTTCTACCCCTCTTCTCTGCCAGCTTTAAACAGGCCTGTCCTATGTATCTCAAAATCTTAAAATGAAACACCAAGATAAAGACAACAGTCAGCTCAGAGCTCACTGGTCTGCTATCTCCTCAAGAACTGGTAAAGAAAAATTCAAATCAGATGTTAGTTGTGGTGGTAGCACCTAAAATTCCAGCACTCAGAAGGATTTAGTTTGAGGCCAGCCTGAAATATGTAGCAAGTCCCAGTCTCAAAATATCAGAAAAGAATGAAGGAAAGGCGGGGTTGCAGGGGGAGGAGGCAGGAAGGCAGGGAGGGAGATTTTATTTATTTATTTATTTTTTGGTTTTTCTCCGGTACTGGGGACCGAACTCACGACCTTGCGCTTGCCAGGCAGGCGCTTTGCCGCTGAGCTAAATCCCCAGCCCCAGGAGGGAGATTTTATTGATGGATACCCTAGACTCCAGTACCTGAAAGTGAACATGTCATACAACAGTTGGTACCTTGCAGTTTATCAGCTGACCTTAAAAGAAGGAGATTATTTTTGATTCTCTGAGTGAACCCCACGTAATTAGAGAGCCCGTGCATCACAGAGAGACGCAGGAGTGACACTGATAAGGACTCAACCCATCATTACCGGCTTTGAAGCTGGCACCAGTGGCAGCCTCTGGAAGGTGGAAAGGCAAGGAAATGGATTTTCCCGTAGAGCCTCCAAAAAGGAACACAGCTCTTACAGTACACGTCTTGGCTCCATGAGACCTGCATTCGTCTGATCTAGAGACCTACCACAATTTGTATGGTTTTTAGCCACTAAGTCAGTGGTCATGTGTCATAGTAGCAGCAGAAAATACAACAGAATTACTACAAATGGTTGCGGATGCAGAAAGCAGCCTGGGGCCAATTCTCACTTAACTAGCTGGGTACTGTGACAAGGAGAGCCGGGCAGTGGTCCCAGGAGAAGCCTGAATACTGAGGAAAGCGCCTAACATAACCACCTAACGTAACCCAAAACACCCAGTCGGCATATGAAGCTCCCCTAGAAAGCTAATCACTGTCACAGCCAGAGGCTGAGGAGGGCTGTACTGGAGGGGGAACTAACCGCTTACAGTGTCACCCTGTTAAAGGAAGTGGACACACATGTAGATGTGCTCTATGCTTTGTTATAAAACCTAAGCTTAATATGAGGGCTAAAAATGTAAGGTTGAAATGTGGGCTTCTAGTTCCAGTAATAGCTGGCCTTAGACAATGTGCTGCAAAACACCTAGAAATACTGACCATAATACAGTGGGCACCCTTTAAAGTGCCCAGCTAAACTCACAAGAAAGTAAGGGAAATCCATGGGGGCCAGTAGAAGAGTGAAAACCCACAGGGTTAAGCAGTCTCTCACTGAGGAATTTGGAGATGTGGAGGTGAAAGGTGCTTGAGACAGGGTCTCTATGTAGCTCAGGCTGGCCTCAAACTTTTTTTTTTGGTTTGTTTTACTTCCAGTACCAGGAATCGAACTCACGACCTTGAACTTGCCAGGCAGGCACTTTGCTGCTAAGCTAAATTCCAACCTTGCACTTGCCAGGCAGGCACTTTGCTGCTGAGCTAAATTCCCAGCCCCCATGGCCTCAAACTTTTGATCCCCCTACCTCAGCCTCCCTAGTGCTGGGTTTACATGCCTGTGCCACTGTGCTTGGTATCTAAGGATTTTTTTTGCCAGTCTGTCATCAAGGGGCTTTTTTGTTTAACTGAGGTGGAATTCACCTAATAAAAAAAGTCAACCATTTAAAATTACAACAGCTGGGGATATAGCTCAGTGGCACAGTGCCTGCCTGGTAAGTACAAGGTCCTGAGTTCGATTCCTGGTACAAAAAAAACAACTATTCAGCCAGGTGTGTGGCACACACCTACAATCTCAGCACTCAGGAAGGTGAGGCAAGGAGGATTGCTGCTGAGTTTGAGGCCAGTTTAGGTTACATAGTGAGTTCAAAGCCAGCTTGCACTACATACTGAGACCCTGTCTCAAAAAACAAAAATACTTAATGAAAACTTTCTATGAATTACTAAAAAGTACTCATATAAAACCTACTTTTATGAAAAAGAACAAAAAACAGAAAACCTACTCTTATGTATCAATTTTTTTTGTGGACTAGTTTGAAAATACAGCCGATAGCCCAGTGTAGTATGAGCCTTAAACTTGTTAATGAATGTACACACCTACAAATAAATTCAATTACCTATAAAAATATGTATTCTAAGTACTAAGGGTAAACTTGGAACAAGGGTGTTTTTTACATCAGGACTTGCTATATTTGTCTCCTCACCAAGCAAACACAAAGGTGACTTTTTACAAGCAGCTGTTATCTGCAGCAAAATATTTATTATTTATGTGAGTCTTATGCCAAGCTTACTAAACACATCATTTTTCAGAATTTGAATTAAATTCCTCTTGACATAATTCCTTCCTTTTTCCCTGAGGACAGTTTGTTCACTTGTACAAAATTAGAAAGAACAAAATACTGGGACAATAACCACAGTGTACAATGCTGCTGTGAGGCATAAAATAAATCTATTAAGTCCCACAGAATTCTAACCATTTGTGTAGGAGTTCTGTTGCTGACAATAATTATAGTTTAAAAGAATCTATTTCCAGAGAAGCGCTCTTCTTTGTATCTTCCCAAAAACATTCTGTCCCCTCCTTGCAGCCCTCCCATTCAGTCACTCCCTGTGCACTGGAAGAACAAGCTCAGTGCTGCGCTCCCTGGCACACGGAGCCGTGCGGTCCCTTCGGCAGGGAAAGGAGGCCAGAGCGGCAGGCGCAGGGTTAGAACCGACATCTCCCTGTGTCCTCATCCTACTGTGCATCGTTCTCCCTCAGTTCCCAACAATTTTCAACCAACATACCTATGACTTTAACTCTGCTCTTCCGTTACACACATAAAGGGCACACAACATAAACACACACACAATCTGGAAAAATGAAATGAATTCTTCCCAGTGACTATATGGGGGGAAGGAGAAAATTTCTCTCTCTCTTTCTCTCCACGGGCATGGACATGCTAGTCAAGCACTCTACCTAAGCCACATCCCCAGCTCTATATAATTGTTTTAATAACCAATATGTTATTAGTTTTTAGTTTTGAAATGGGAAAAAAAACAAATATTTTTTTAAAGGC